TTAGACCGCTTCCTGTGCAATGCAAAAAACATTTGCTGACTCAATGTTTCCCAGTTTACACGAATGCTGCTAAAATCGGTCCAAAGCCCTATGGAATGAAATGATATATTGTTCTCGAAATGCAACAGACTGATGTGTATCTATTAATTTATTATTTTAGTGCTCACATTTGTCAATCTCATTTCTCCAGCCATCTATATACTTTAAAATAAGCTTACGGACATAAACACACTGTCTACAGAGACTATTATAATCAGAGTCCGTTTATACCATGTGGAATGCGCTTCAATAACTTACATAACAAGCACTGCGTTTGGTAAACGCCTTCTAAATGTCCCATCATCGTTACATCAATTTTATTTACCTAAAAAAATCCAAGTGAGAGCCCCATTAAGACTCAATAATCTCTTCAGTTGGAACAGACTTTGGGCTTATACAAGTCGAGGTCAAGATGATGATGATCTTAACATAAAGCCAAACTCAAACACATTCGTCGATACCACTGTGACCTTCAACAGAAAAAGTAGATAATTATGGCCAGATAGGTGGAATTGGCCTTTCTCTGTATGCTGTGAAGAAGGGCCATTGCATAAAACGTTGCCTATTATACACGCTTTATCCTTGAGGCCACGGTGGTGTTAATGACGAATGTCAGTTTGACATGTAGACTTTCGCGACCAATATCATCCATAACCCAAAAAACCTGTATGATGAATGACGAATGTGTTGCGTTTTTTGTGCTGTGCGCACGCACCACTGCTAAGGCAGCAGCAGCATCACCTAATAATTTTATAGCAGCGAGATAAAAAATACCACACTTGGACCCAATGCTTGACTGAAAGCTACTCATCATTCATCAGCTCGTCATTCACTTTTGCCAGGAATACCTCACTGAGTCTCAAGCCTATTTTCAAGAGGTACCTGCTGGGGGATGGTAGTTAGCTTTTTTTTATTCTATATGTTTTTATTGTTATTCATTGAACCCAGAATACAAAGTAGATTGATTTCGAAGACGGGGGAAAACATCAAATAACGTGGAACAAGCCCGGAGCGATACACCCTCAAAATTATGGACCTACTGGGGGCGTCTGGGTTAATTGATACGAACATTTACTTGTGTGCTACACTACACGAGTCACTGGCAGTGGGAGTGCCACATTCTATGGGAGGCGGGCTACGCAATTCACTGATGAAATGTAATGGTATATATTTTTTTCCTAGCTAATATAATTACAGCGAATCAAGGAGACTCACTCCAAAATTATACTTTTGGGCGAGCCTACTCTATCAGCCTTCGTGTTTGGGGCAAGGCCGTAATTAGAATATATATTGGGGGGGGGGGGGGGGGACACATACCCCCCCCCCATATTAAAATCTGCTCAAAATGCCCCCCACTCCAATATATTGCTATAAAATAGATTTCTGTTTATATAATTGTGGTTATGGTTGTATTTTATTAATCCCTAATCTCTGCCGTTACATACAATGAAACAAGGAAAGGTAAAAAAGAAAAAAACAGAGCAATGTAATACAATACACTACTAGACATTATGTTAAACAAAAAATCCATTCTATGTGTTAGTGATTTTTTTAAATATTTTAATTAGGAAATTCGTTTTCAAATTTAGATTGATTTATTTTTCTGGGGCGCGACCTCCAGACCCCCTGGAAGATTTGGTCTCCCCCCCCCAATGTTTACTCCACGGTTACGGCCTTGGTTTGGGGACCCAAATTATAAACAAATAAATGGTTTTAAAAAATATATATTATAATCATAGATTATTATATTTCTGCCCAACTTCAGTTCTCTAGCCATTAATTGACAGCATCCCCTCACAATCATCTATGTGTATATTGCGTTTGTAAGATAAGTGGAGTTCTTGAAAGTCAAAGTGGGAGGCTTCTCGTGACCCAATTGCTGTACTATTCATTAACCCCCCACCTCACCCTGCGCAGGAGCTTTCTGCAAACAATGACGCCGTCCATAATAGAGGGGGGTTTTGGGGGGGATTAGATCGTGTAAATATATAAATGTTGTGTCGTTTAAACCCGCCACCACCCGACACAGCCAACTAGTAAGGGTTGTCACGTGAACAGAACGTGGCCAATTCGTCACTAGTACAGCAACACCGGTGTGTTGGGGAGCCGAGCCACAACATTTACAATCTGAATACGACGTTTCGCCAGTAATTACAACTAGCTTCATCAGGCGACAGCCAGATTTGTGGTGGAAGTCCACCTGTTTTGTTCCTCATATAGAGGCGTAGATGCGGTGACCACGCTTCTGCGCTCTTGCACAAAGTGGGGGAGGGCGGGATTAATGAGTCAACTTACATTATGCATGCGCATTGAGCGAGCCCTTTGAGCGCCACCGTCATGCGATCCACCAACCGCCCTATCCACGTGGTAGTCATCATTCCGAATCCCAATCGTCACCAGGTCACTGGCGGCCAGTCGCCAATCTTTTACTGCTCCCCACCAAGGCCTCCTGTGTCCGCGGGCTTTGCTTGTTGATTCCACCCACACATGTCGAGGGCTCGGTCTACCAGACCGTTTCGTCGCATCCACACACTGTGTGCAACCACCACACTTGCAAGGTCACACCACTTCTCTTTGTGCTTCTGTTCCCAACCTCTTATTAACTGTGTTCAATTCAGGAAGGGTACGATGTTAACTCTCACCTGTCACAGCTTCGACAGTGCTGTTTGTTGCTGGCCGCTTGGGCGTTCGGGGACGCTTTTGGGGCTGTGCTCACCAACTGTGACTAACAACAACCCGGCGAATTAAATGATGTATATTGATTCCTCATCGGAATTTCATTACACGCAGACGAACCTCGCTCGTAAGAGCCGGCCTCCTTCACCAAGGGCATAAGCGGTCGACGATTTCAGTGACGCTTTAGAAATCCCCTGCAGCTCAACCCGACCTTCGTTAAGTGTGACGGTTGCAATGTGGGGTAGTATTTTTGTGTTAGTTTGATTGTTTCTAGCCGGGCTGCAGCGGCTATGCACATGGCCTATAATCTAGCACTGTGTAAACGAGCGGCCGTTCGTCGATCGCACACACGTTGTGAAACTCCCTTCCCACGGGCGTCGAGGTTCCAGCGCCCTGGCACGCCAGGAGATGGCAGTACAGCAAGTGGACTAATCGCCATCTGTTTCCATCTGTACGGGAATGGAGAGTTGCCTCTCTCGTAGACGTGGGGTTTCCACCGGGTGATACGGTTAACTCCCACTTTTATAAACGCTCAAAAATAAAAAAAATCCAATGTTTGCAAGAAATCTCGCGAAAGAAAAAAAAACTGTCCTCTGACTCGATGTGACTTCCGTGGGTAAATAAGTCCATGAGTATACACGTATTATTATCGCAGCTCAGCTGGGTGGAAATAATGAATGTGGCTTCCTGATAAAATCACGAAGCTATGTCTGTGATTGTCATTAAGAAATGCATTCAACGTGACTGCAATCGTAATGCAGCTGAAATAACCTTAAATCGTTATTTTTTATATTGTATGACCCTGTATAAGGTAACCTGTAATGCCTGTTATAGTCATAATTAGACAATACTAATATTGTTGCAATTGTAAAGCGATAATAGAAACAGGTTAAAACGTACTTGCACTTATAAAACGAGTATAATATCAAATAAAACATGTTTAAGTGACCTGTTAAGACCATGTGAATTACTTGTATGCAAATATATCAAGGGGCATTGCCCGAAACGTCACATATTCCCTTTTTAAGGCACTGTTATTGACGAAACGTGTTGCGTTATTTGTGTTGTTGCGAATGTATGCGAGTGGGTGTGAATGTTCGTGAGTGAATATGAATAAGTAATTGAATTAAATATGCTGTATATATTGAATGTGAGTTAGTTGGTACATGTGAGTTGGTGAGTTAGTGTGCGTTGTTGAGTGAATGCGAGTTGCTGAGTGCATGGTACATGTGAGTAAAATGTAAAATGCACATGAGTGGGTACGATTGTGTTCATAAGTAGATGTGAATGATTGGATTATCGGGAGGGTGCTTTCATTTCAGAGTATAGGAGTACGTCAATTAGTTGTGGTTTAATTGCGAAATTTGGTGACTATGTTCGCGCGTGGTGTTAATGCGTGCCTGAGAGAGATGGGGAGGGAAGGACTCACTGAGAGCGAGGCATTGGGTCCTTGCGTACTGAGCAAGAGGATGGACGTGTGATCGATTGGGTAGTGAATACGATGAAGGTAGCCAACGAGCGAGTGACTTTGTAAGCGAGACAGCGAGTGGACGAGCGAATTCTGAAATGAGCGAGCGGACGAGTGATAAGGAACATTTAATGAGTGAAGAACTGACGGCTTGGGCGAACGATCGAGTGACTGAGCGAGTGATCAATGTGAGTGTGTGATCAACTGAGTGAACGAATAACCAAGTGAGTTCATATGAAGAGAATCAACGAGTGAGAATGCGAGTGAACTAACGATAAGTTAGTGATTGACCAGGTGAGTGAGTGAGTTATCGGACGAGTGTGATGAGATGCGTCAATGATCGGACTAATGGGTGATCAGGTGAGCGACAGAGTGACCAGATGGGATAACATTACCATATGAATGACTGATCATGTGAATGATCATGTGAGGCGGTGACCAGGTGAGTGTATGATCAATTAATTGAGTGAGTGATCAAATAAGTGACCAAGTGTCTCAGATAAGTGAGTGACATCAAATGGGTGAGCACGTGAGTAATCAAGTGATCAGGCGAGTGAGTGAGAGATTAATCGAGATCGGGTGGGTCAGTGAGTGAGCAAGTGAAGTGAGTTACCATGTGAGCGAGCCTTTCGCGTGCGCGAGAAACCGCGTTGAATGTCCACATGGGTGGATGAGCGAGTTAAGCAAGTGAGTGTCTCATACCTGACCTGAGCGAGCGAGCAATCAGGCGCGCGTGAGTGACCGAGTGAGTTAAATGTCCCGTGTGAGTGACACGTCCCAGGTGAGTGAACGCGCGCCCGCACTGAACTGCCGTTACCTCTCGCGTCGGCCTCGCTGTGTGAGCCCTCTGCAGAGACGGCACGCACACGAACAGATGCTGCCGGGGAAGGAGGTGCTGATGTGTGGACGGCGCGGTGAGGGAACGAGGAACGAGTGGGGGGAGGGGGGGTCTGTGTAGGGGTGCCGTGGGGTAGAGATGAAGAGGGTGGGGAGATGTGTGCGGGGGGGGGGAGACGTGGACTAGACCGAGTTGGTGGAATGGGGGTGGAGGTTTGGAGCTGTAGGGAGGAGTGTCCCTGGCGAGGTCCATCCTAGCCTCTATTTACGGGATGTGCGGCACCGCGCGCGCGTGTCGCGTGTGTGCGCGTCTGCGTGTGCGCGTGCCTGTGCCAATGTGTACACGTGTGCGTACACTCACTGATGTGCATATGTAACAACAATGCTTTTGTCCGTGCGTGTATGTACGTATATGGGAGTGTGGCTCCTCGTGTACATGTGTACATGCGTGTGACAATTCAGCGCAGTGGTTAGCGCACTGCGCTACGAGCTCAGCCGGTAGAGTTCAATTCCTGGTCTCCCCTAGGTCGACTTGGCCTTAAAACGAATACCCGGTGCGGGGATACAAAGGCCGCCGGGCGTGGTGCTGGTCAACCACCCCATCGTGTGCCGTGCGGACCTTCATAGGTGCCCGTTAACAGCACTCACACCAGAAAGTCTGTTAAGGCTACACGGGGGGTCCTTGTCTTGTACGTGTGTATACTATTTATTTGAAGTGCTAATCGAGAGGATGTCTCTGAGTTTGTAAGAGTGTTTGTGTGTCTGTGTACACTGATCACCGCACTGCACTGGGCCCCCGACTTCGATTCCCGCTCACGAGCAATGAGTGACGAATGTCTGAAACCGTTCCTGGACCTCTCCACGGTCGACTCAGCCTTACGCGGGTGCCCGGTGGGCTCCGTCAACATCGATACAGGGGAGACAAAGGCGACCGGGCGTGGTTTTGGCCACACCGCCCCTTGTAGATGCGCCGTGCGAATCCTTCACAGGTGCTCGGTGCGAGCACTTTACCCAACACTCGGGAATCTTTGGCTTTGTGTGCGTGGCAGTACATGTCCGTATGTGGTGTGTTAATATTTGTAGTTTTAAATCAACGCGTGTTTACTGGTTACACGTGTTTGGTGGCACTATGTTTGTAGGAATGTGAATCTGCGTGTGTATGCAAATGTATGGTACGTATGCTGAACTTCTTTCGCACCGTACGTTGGCAATCGCGCTAATCGGCGGTGCGGCTGGCCGTGCTTTGTAAGTACGTGTGTGATTCTGTGCAGATGTGTAATTGTTGTTGTTGTGTGTGCGTCTGCGTAGTTATGCCTGTCTGTCATTGTATCGGAGTGTGTTCATTTTCGTTTATGTATGTGTATATGACAACACACAATATACAGTGAGGGAAAAAAAGTATTTGATCCCCTGCTGATTTTGTACGTTTGCCCACTGACAAAGAAATGATCAGTCTATAATTTTAATGGTAGGTTTATTTGAACAGTGAGAGACAGAATAACAACAACAAAATCCAGAAAAACGCATGTCAAAAATGTTATAAATTGATTTGCATTTTAATGAGGGAAATAAGTATTTGACCCCCTCTCAATCAGAAAGATGTCTGGCTCCCAGGTGTCTTTTATACAGGTAACGAGCTGAGATTAGGAGCACACTCTTAAAGGGAGTGCTCCTAATCTCAGCTTGTTACCTGTATAAAAGACACCTGGGAGCCAGAAATCCCCAGAAGCAATCAATCAATCAGATTCCAAACTCTCCACCATGGCCAAAACCAAAGAGCTCTCCAAGGATATCAGGGACAAGATTGTAGACCTACACAAGGCTGGAATGGACTACAAGACCATTGCCAAGCAGCTTCGTGAGAAGGTGACAACAGTTGGTGCGATTATTCGCAAATGGAAGAAAGACAAAATAACCGTAAATCTCCCTCGGCCTGGGGCTCCATGCAAGATCTCACCTCGTGGAGTTGCAATGATCATGAGAACGGTGAGGAATCAGCCCAGAACTACACGGGAGGATCTTGTCAATGATCTCAAGGCAGCTGGGACCATAGTCACCAAGAAAACAATTGGTAACACACTATGCCGTGAAGGACTGAAATCCTGCAGCGCCCGCAAGGTCCCCCTGCTCAAGAAAGCACATATACATTCCCGTCTGAAGTTTGCCAATGAACATCTGAATGATTCAGAGGACAACTGAGTGAAAGTGTTGTGGTCAGATGAGACCAAAATTGAGCTCTTTGGCATCAACTCAACTCGCCGTGTTTGGAGGAGGAGGAATGCTGCCTATGACCCAAAGAACACCATCCCCACCGTCAAACATGGAGGTGGAAACATTATGCTTTGGGGGTGTTTTTTTTCTGCTAAGGGGACAGGACAACTTCACCGCATCAAAGGGACGATGGACGGGGCCATGTACCGTCAAATCTTGGGTGAGAACCTCCTTCCCTCAGCCAGTGCATTGAAAATGGGTCGTGGATGGGTATTCCAGCATGACAATGACCCAAAACACACGGCCAAGGCAACAAAGGAGTGGCTCAAGAAGAAGCACATTAAGGTCCTGGAGTGGCCTAGTCAGTCTCCAGACCTTAATCCCATAGACAATCTGTGGAGGGAGCTGAAGGTTCGAGTTGCCAAACGTCAGCCTCGAAAACTTAATGACTTGGAGAAGATCTGCAAAGAGGAGTGGGACAAAATCCCTCCTGAGATGTGTGCAGACCTGGTGGCCAACTACAAGAAACGTCTGACCTCTGTGATTCCCTCATTAAAATGCAAATCAATTTTTAACATTTTTGACATGCGTTTTTCTAGATTTTGTTGTTGTTATTGTCTCTCACTGTTCAAATAAACCTACCATTAAAATTATAGACTGATCATTTCTTTGTCAGTGAGCAAATGTACAAAATCAGCAGGGGATCAAATACTTTTTTTCCCTCACTGTATGTGTAAATGACAACACACAATATATGTGTATGTCTGTGTATGTGTGCGTGTGCATATATATGTGTGTGTGCTCGCTAACATCTCTTGCCCCAAAAGTCCATTCAGACTATACGCGGTGGTCTTTGTCTTTATATATTTACGTATGTGTCTGTGTTCACATAGTTGTGTGCACGTGTATGTGTATATATATGCACACACACGTGTGTGTGTGTCCATGTGTCTGTGTGCAGCACACGCACTTTTGTCTTTACCAGATCAAAATAGAACACGGGGCCCGCTATGCGGGGGTGAGTGAAGAGGTGGGGGCATTGGGGGGGGGGAGGGGAGGGGTGGGGGAGGTGGGGGGCGCAGAGAGACAGAGACTCGTTGACTAACAACCATATGCTGTTACGTTGCCCTCGCGTTATTCCACACATTGGTTAATTGTGATAAACAAGAACGTCAGATATCTTCATCTTTCATTTCCTAAAGTAATATCAAAAACGAAATAAATAAATGCATACATGCCATTGTTAGAAATAAACATATGCGTGTGTTGATGATTGTGTACGGGAGGGCCAGACAATCCCATTTCGTGGTATGATGATGGAACGTTTACAAATAATAACGTGTGTTTTAAAGTAATCGTCACAAAACGCATCCACTTGTATGGATGCCACACATCTATAGCCCTGTACTGTGCAGCGTATTGTGTGTAGTTTGTTTGCCTTGCGGGCCTTAGTGAAGGTCAGGAGGTCATCACCTTGCCGTGACTTCTTTCCTTCTGCCAGATCCCTCAGCTGTTGGAAAAATCATAAGCAGGGGCAGTACAATCCATTTTATGGTTGGAAAAAATCTGTTTTTTTTTACAATCATTTGTGCGATGGACAACACTCAATCACTGATAGACTCGATGGCATAATATAACGTGCCGTGGATTTTATGTGGCTGCGTGCCATGCATACCATAATCAAGTTTGGAGGTTGCCAATGGCGTTCACGCCATCGAACCTCGCCTTCGCTTCCTTCCTCATGCCAGATCCCTCATCTGTCATTGCACAGTCAATGCGGGTATCCGTCGACAAATGCTCAAGGTCAAGAGGTCGTCACAGCCAATAGTGTTCATGATAATGCACCTCACCATTGTTTCCTTGTGCCACATTTCCCAGCTGTTCTTGCACGGATGATAACCAACCACCGCGGGTCCCACTCTTACAGGTAGGTCTTCTTCTGCTCGGCCACCAACCTCCGGGGTGCCAATCTGACGCCCATTTTGGTTCACCTGCCCTCCTCCATTCTCAATATTCGCCCCACCCATCGCAACCTTCGCTTCCTGTTACATGTGCAATTCCTGCCGCTTTCTATTCTGAGCTGACAAAGTTGCTTAGCCTATTCTTGACACCAGATTCCTAGCATCCTCTGCGTTGATGAGTACTAAAAATATCCGTGTTTGAAGAAGATGGACCCAATTTCAAAGCAGTATATTTCACGATGGCAACATGTTACACAAAAAGTTACCAACGGTTTAATGATTTATCAAGTTTTACTAACCATTTTATAAATGCTCTATGTGCCCTCCACCTCCTGTACGGACAACATCGAGACGCTCGTTGAGTTCGTCCCAAACGCCTCTCTTCTCACGTTTCCCTCTGAGGTGCGTGGTCGCCCTGTGCTCTTCCCCTTACATCAACAGCAGCCCGTTTCCTCAAATTGTCGGTACCAACGACGAACGCTCTTTGACATTGGCGGATCAAAGCCAAAACGCCGTTGAAACGCACGCCGCACCGCAATTAAGGATTCAGCCTTGCTGAATTGCAGAACGCAAAACGCCCCTTGTGTTGCGGGGGTCACCGTCTCGCGAATGACTGAGGCTAGGGGCTGTTTGTGCGCTAGGAGAGGCATCGAGCGGTAGTCATTTGAAACTCTATGCCCCGCCCTTTCAAGTGGTAAGAATTTCATTCATGGGCGGTTTGTGGTTGCAGAGATATAGCGATTTCAAATCGGATCAATCTCTTTGAAATACCCTGTATATTCAATGCAGCCTCAATGAGTCTTGAGAGGGCCCTCCGTTAAGATGTTAAACAAATGTCTTTTTCGTGGTTTTGCTTTGCATGTGGGAGGAAGCCAGTGTACCCAGAGAATACCCCCCGCGTGCGTGGGGATAACACTCAACAATTCACACAGACTGGTTGTGAACACATTTGCTGGACTGCCATCTCTTGACCACATTGCAGCCCAGCGCGTTGGAAGTCTCACAAACCCCAAGCCCCAAGTGCCGGATTGCAGGCGCTCGCCCACTACAGTGCTGTATGTTACCGCTGCAGTTTTTTTATCTGCATGGCTGGCAAAAACTCAAAACAATGAAATGAATAAAAT